GCGCGGGAGACCTCAGGCCTTGAGTCCGAGTGCCGGCGGGGCGGGGGGGGGGCTGCAAGGTAGCTCTGGACTGCTGCATGCACACCCCAGTGGGCAGTGGGAAGGGGTATTTGACCCATCCCAGATTTGTGTGCAGGGCAGAAGCAAGCTGCCCACTTCAGACTTGGGGCTCCCTGCCCTGTTACCTTTCCCTTGGGAGCCCTCTGCTCGTCACACTACACCTGCCCACCTGACAGCAGCAGGGGCAGCAGTGGCATGGAGTCATCCTCCCAGCTGTTTCCAGGTGGGCAGGGGGAATGTGGCAAGCTCAGGGCTCTGGTGGGAAAGGCAGCAGGGCAGGGACCACTGAGCCTGCAGCAGGCAGTCTGCATCCACTCCCACCTGCTTAGCTTTGCTCCAGCCATAATGGAGAAGGGGGCAGTGGCAATGCATAGGGGGTGCACGTGCACCCTGAGAGCACTGGTGCACCCCCTGACAGGCCACCCTCCCCACTTAGGCAACGGGGAGGGGGGCAGGTGGGAACACCGGTGCCCATCCCTGAGAGTGCCAGCCAGGGAGATACTGGGAGCACCGGATGAAGCACCATGGCCACTTCCGGGAGTGCCATGATCAGCCACAAGGGACCTTCATTGCTGACTGGTCGCTGGAGTGGGGCATGTGCCCCCCCTGACTAAAGTGGCACCAGTCACCCATGGGAGGGGAAGAAGGGGGAGGAGAGGCAGGTATGTGTCCAGTGTTTTCAGTTTGAAAAAGTGGTCACCCTAATCCATTCCCACTAAAAGCCAATGAGATTAGCAATGAAGTCTCAATTTTTTATTTGAAAGCTCACACACACAACACCATATACGTTCAATAAGGGTTTTTTTGTTGTGCTTCTTCCAATTTTATCCCACCAAATGTTGACCCCTTTTAATAATATCAAGATTCAGAATGAAATTTCTTCACAGAACTAACTTTCATCAAGAAGTCAGGCAACCCAGGACTTAATACTGAAATGTTGAGATCAATGGAATTCTTGCCAAAGACTTCAGAATAGGCAGAATTAGGCCTCTAAGCCATCAGGCAGAGAATGTGGACCCCAAATTCTCTCTTTTCTCTTAAATGCAAAAGTACATGAATAATAAGATAAAAACTTAAGGGATGTTTTTAAGGTAGGTAAAGATTTCTGTTTATTTAGTATAAATGACACTTAAATAAACCTGCACATTGAAAAGGCAAAAGCCATGAAGTTAAGATTATACTGACATTAAACAACAATCATGAGAAAGTAGGTGGAACCCTGAAAGTTTTCTTATACTGCAAGACTGAAAATGAACCAGACTGTGTGAACCCACCACGGTGCCAAAATTCTATGCATTTCATGCAAAGGATCCAGGAAAGCTGCACTGATGTTCAGCTGAACATGCTACAACTGGGTTTGACGCTGACCTAAAGGACAACTTACGACCGAGAAATTAACTATCAGGGTACCTATGGGTAACAGCACATTATCCACAAGATGACTTAAATGTTTGCATGGTAACTGGCTGCACAAATCAGTTATTTAGGGCTGAAACCGTTAAAGTTGTTTCTCATAAGCCTTCTCTAGCACTGAAATGAAAAAGAAAAAACAAAAACAGAAATATTATTTTGGTTATAAGAAGTTGGGCCCAGGTAATTGCCCTCAGAAGTCATTGCCATCTGATCTTTAAAACATTCTTAATTATCATACAGTATACCCAGTGCTTACTGCTGTATTTGCCACAAAATAATGATCCACAGCAAGCCTAAAGCTCATATTGGTAATTTTACATTTAAATGCCATGCAAGAGCAGTGCATCAATGTCAATATACTGCTGGTTACCAAACTGACAGAGATGAGATTACCAAGTCCACTATCCTTTTCCTTCAGTGCTACAGAGCTGGCATTGAAGAACTTTAAGATGTTGTGGATAGAACATGCTATTTAGTTGTACAAGAAGAGTCTGGGGGGGAAGAATCAGTTACTTAAATGACGAGAAGCAATTAGAGCCTAAAGAGGCTTATCTTGAAGACTTTTCAGTTGTGCCCTTGAAAACCTCTGTCTTTTTTTCCTAATAATTACAATACAATGTGTCACCCTAGCAAGCTGACAAACTTAAACCAGCTAAGATTTTGATCCCATATTGATTAGGTCAACATGTAT